CCTGCCACGGGCAGGGACACCTTCCACTAGAGCAGCTTGCTCCAAGCCCCTGTGTCCAACCTGGCCATGAACACTCCCTGCTTGGCCACATGCAGGACTGTGTCCAGCTTGAGGGTGCACCCCCAGCACATTGCTCTGCCATGGAGCAATGCTGGGGCCAACTTAACACAGACCGACTGTACCACTGGGAGCAACATAAAGCAAAGCTCAGCCCCATGAGCCCAGCAGGACTGCCCCAGGGGAATGCAGCCCTCCCAGGAAGCACACCGGTTTGGAGACAGAGACTGCCAGTATCTCTGCATGGCACCATATGGACATAGTAGCCTACAGGATGCTCTTAGTCCAAACGACTGTATACATGGCACATTCTCTTCGAGCAAACCTGCAATCATTGCCTAATCTGCTCGAATTTCGAGTAGTATATCCAAGGAATACTGGAAATATGGGGCCAAGGGTTGTCTGTGAAGCAGAGCAGCTGAAGCAGCAGCAGCAGGTCCCACAAACCATCTCACCTTTCTGCTTCCCCCCCCCACTTGTGAGATTTACGACAAGAATCTGCAGTGCTCTGTGAGACACTGTGAGTGTTGGCCACGCTCCCAAAAGCTGAGGAATTGCTGAATTGAGAATTGCTCTACTGCTTAATCTCAACAACCAGGGATGCTGAACAAGCCAGCAGAGTCCAGGTTTACTTTTAATTACCTCTCAGAGTGTGCTGCTCTAGTAAACAGACACAAAACCCACTAGTTCTTGTTTCTTCCTTATGTTCTTTGCCCATATACAACCTGAAATGGCTGAGATGGAGACAGCAAACACAGCCCCACCATGCCACTTCTGCTGACTCACTTCTCAAGCATAAACAGTTCCAAATAGCACATTAATGCCTACCACTGTAACACGATGCTCACCTACTTACAGCCAGATAATAATGCTCTGAGGGCTAAGGGCCTGGGCTTCCCTCCTTGCTGCAGAGCTCTTGGGGTCAATGTAAGAAGCACATCTCGGGGCTGCAAAGTGACTGTGATGCTTTTTGCTCATCACTGACCACCAAAAGCCCACCACATGGACCAAGCACGAGCAAGATCTGGGACATCTCATAGTGCAATTGAGGAAACCTTGCCAAATGCAAGACCATCACTGCTCTCAGAATAGATTTGGATACTGCTTGCAAGTCAGGTTTCTCCCTTTTTGAGGATGAGATGGAGAGCTGGTAAAGGCTGAAGGCCCCTAAGAATGACCTGAATTTAAAGCAGGGCACTACTGGGCGCATGCATTGATTGCCAGACTTCACATCACCTCTTATCATTTCCCCTTTATGGATAAATACCTCAAGAGTGCAGAACCATCACTTGAAGCCCAGCAAAACAATCACTTAGGACCTTCCAAAACTGAAATGATCTACCTGAACTAGGCTTCTGCTTCCACCAGACAGCTTCTGTGCCCACAGAGGGTACCACACGTACCCGCCACTGCCTGCAAACCCTATGAGGCTACTGTTTGCATTAGACAAAAGCACTTTGGCTCTTGGGCAATCTCTGGGGTTTCATTCCTCAGCTGAGAAATAGCTTTCAAAGAGCTCCTTGGCTCCTGAAAGACAAACCTAAAGCCTTTAGTAATCCTCCCAGCGACTGCAAGGCACATTTCCCTGCTGTTTGTCCAGTCGTTGCCATCAACATTGGCAAGAGGAAGGCACCGCAGCGGCACGGCCATGGAAGGAAGGAGTCCTCTGGGGCTGGGAAACCTTTGCCCACGCTGCCACCTCCATCTCTCCAGCACTCCAGGAATGGATTTCCAAGGCCTGCATCTTCCATAAATCTCTTTAAGGAACGAGGAGCCAAACATCTGTGAGTTGTCTGAATTAGTGTGAATCTGGCAGACTGAACAGCAAACTTGTATCGCCCCTCAGCCTTCGAATCTCTTGTTTTCCTCGGGTTCATTAAATACATAACAATCTGTTAGCACAAGACAGTTCCTACGTGCACGGGCTGCCAAGGAGCTGGTTTTGATAGTGCTGGTGGAGATGGGGAATGTGTGAGGAGGAGAGGGGGGCTCTTCCTAAGGCAGCAGGGTAAGGAGAAGATGGGCTGTATCCATCCTGCCTCCTCCAGCAACTGCCCACCACGAGGCAAAGGCTGTCTCTGACATGTAAACCTGGTGCATAGAATCACAACATGGTTTGGGTTGGAAAGGACCTTAAGATCATCCAGTTCCAGCCCCCTGCCATGGGCAGGGATGCCTCACACCAGGCCGTATCATCCAAGCCCCTGTGCCCAGCCTGGTCTTAAACACTGACAGGGATGCAGCATTTATCACTTCTCCGGGCACCCTGTGCCAGCGCCTCAGCACCCTCACAGTAAAGAACTCCTTCCTTATATCTAACCTGAACTTGCCCTGTTTCAGTTTGAACCCATCACCCCTTGTACTATCACTACAGTCCCTGATGAAGAGTCCCTCCCCAGCATCCTTGTAGGATTTTGGGAAGATTCAAAGGGAACAGAGCTTAAGAGTGTGAGACAAGCAAGCGGAGATGCCTTCAAAAGCCAAGGATGCCCTGCAGCATCACGCAAACTGGGATGATGATGCTCCATTCAGGAGAACCAGACTCTGTGAGGGTTATTCACATTGGTGAGCAGAGCCCTGGGCACAAAGCATCCCTGAAACTGGAGTTTTTCACTGATGCCTGGGGCCCAGGCATGCCATGAAGGCATTGCCAATACCAAGCCATGGGCAGAATGGTCTGATGTTGTGATGAGGAGTCCCACTGGAGGCTTCACCCTCCCTCAAAAGAAGCCTTTCGCTACGAGGAAGAAGTCAAAGCAACCACCTTCTCACCATGTTTACCCATTCAAATCAAAGCCAAAGCAGCACCGAGACGTGCCTGACAGCATTTCCACGGAGTCATTCATTGAGAGCTTGGACTTGGGTTTCAGCTTCTAACATAGCAGGGAGGCTGGAATAATCGAGAACCTGTTGCTCTAACACACTGTGAACTCCTGCAAGGTGTCAGCAGCACGTAGAGCCCAAACCTCCTGCAGGTTTGGCTCCTTCGGGTGCTCGCCAAGGGAAGGGCAGCGAAACACATTCCCCCATTCCATATAATCCTGGGGTACAATGAGCTGCCTCTCAGTGCCCCAAAGAGAGGTACCCACAGGGCAGACAAGTAATTCTTGCAGAAGACAACACTCCCAGTGTTAAGATGCTTTATCCCCTGGAGATGCCCAATTCCCACGCAGCAGGAGCAGGGCAGGATGAGCCCCACTGTAGCCTGCCATCCATAAAAGCCCAGATTTTGCAGCTCATCTTGGAGATGGGGGAAAGAAGGGTTAAAAATAAGAAAGTAAGTGGAAATGAAAACAGTCCCTGCTTTTATTTGGGCTGGCAGAAACACCATCCTGCCCAGCCTTCCTCAAGCTCATTTATGGCAGTGTGAACATGCAGTAAAGGCAGGGAAAAAAAACCCAGCTGCATTTTCCAACCCAAGAGTCTCCATCTCTGGATAGTCTTCATATAGCCCTCTTTCTCCCACCTCAAAGGTGAAAATTAGGAGGAGAAACAGATTCCTTTGTGCTGTGCAAATGAGAAGCCCAAAGGACAGAGAGCTCTGGTCCCAGCAGCAGCGTGGTGTGAACCAGGAAGCAGCCTGAGGAGAGCTGACCTAAATCATGCTGCATCCCATCCTGACTCCAGAGCTTCCAGCGGGCTATCGGGAAGGGAACCGCGCCAGTGCACAAACATGAATGATTGCCCAGTACAAACAGGGCAGCAAAAATGTCCACCTTCATCCCATGGAAAAATATACCAACTTCCTACGCTAATGAGTGAAGGAATTAATGGATCCTAGAGTTTGTAACGCGTTACAAAGTCCTTAAAATAACACCACCACCTTAAAATGCATGGGAATGCAAGTTAAACATCAGAGTCTGTTAGGAAACCATGGCAGTGGGTTGGAACTGGATGAGCTTTAAGACCCCTTCCAACCCAAAACCATGCTAGGATTCTATGAAACAAGGCACAGATCCTTTCCTAGACATTAAGGACAACACTAACAACATTGCTCAACCAGAAAGAACGGCAGGAACAGCATGCATGAAGCAGAAAAGGAAGAAACAGTCAGTATATACTTTAACACCACGCTAAGGACGAAGTAGAATGATATGGTCAGGTTTGTCAGGGGTAACTGGGGATGACATTAAACAGCAGGCACTAAATATAGCTCTTCCTTAAACAATAGCTCCGAATAATTTACACCTTCAAAGTTTATAAGATCCTGCCAAAAGCCGTGACCGCCGATGCTCCCAGAGGACAGGCACAGCCCTGAGAAGGAGCCCTGCAGAGCTCAGGTTTCTGTGCAAGGACGGGCAGCCAGGAAGCACAATTACCAACACAGAGAAATGAGCTCTCAGCTCACTGATGCTTTGTGCTGGGAGAGGGGAGCACTGGTACAACAGACTTCATCAGAGCGCACAGACACGGATGAGAGTTATCGATAACTGCTTCACTGACACATCTCAAACAGGCCTGCAAATAAACCAGCTTCAACAGAAACTGGGCTTTCACCTTCGGCCATGGAGTATTTCTGGCAGCAACTGGGAAGGAAAGGGGAAAATCAGTGCTGTGTAAGTGACTCAAGACTGGCAGAGAACAAAGTGACAATACAGAATGGAGAGAAGCAACCAGCATGGTTTTAACGGAGATGTTAAGATCATAGAGCCCCAGCCTGGTTTGGGTTGGAAGGGGCATTAAAGCTCATCCAGCTCCAACCCCTGCCACGGGGAGGGACCCCTTCCACTGGAGCAGCTTGCTCCAAGCCCCTGTGTCCAACCTGGCCTTGAGCACTGCCAGGGATGGGGCAGCCACAGCTTCTCTGGGCACCCTGTGCCAGCGCCTCAGCACCCTCACAGGGAAGAGCTTCTGCCTAAGAGCTCAGTTCAGACTTCCTTCTTTAAAACTTAAAAGCCATTAAAGATACTGCTTAAGAAACATATTGCTTAAAAGACACTCACCTCAAAGACAGGGGCACATCGCCAGGCTCCAGCACTGCATAAGCATGTGGGAGATGGGAGCATGGGCTGGATAAATGTGAGATCTCCAGGAGGATAAGAGAGGGTATTTGTGCTCTGCACCCCACAACCACTACAGGCGCTGCACTCAGGCACTACTAGAGCCTTCAGTGAAGTCTGATTAAGGTCTGAAGATCCCAGGAGTAACTGAGGAGCACCTAAGACACAGGTACAGCTCCACAGGGGAAGGGTTAACTGCCCAGGGACACCCTGGCTGCCTTCAGAGAGGTTAGAAGGTGCAAGCAGGTCCTTCAGAGGGAGCAGAGCAGCAGTACAGCACCCAGCACTGCGGGAAGTCAGAACTACGCAGATTCCAAGTGAGGGCAAAGTGCAACGTGCTCCTGAACAGCCCATGCAATAAATGACCAGCAGAACAAATGGCACCGGTGGGTTCTCCATCAGCACTATGTCTGCTTCTCTGCACTGGATGGCTTTTCCAGAAGATATGCTCCAGCAAGAATTAATTCAGAAGACTACTAAAACAGGTGATACATGGAGCAGTCGTCGGGAGCATGGCTCTCCTGCCTCAATGCCCTTCGCCTCAAGTTTGCTGCTGCATCCCCATCATGTCCCAGCACAGTCACTGGGGTGGCACAGTGAGGACCAGAAGGGAGGTTGCAAAGAAGCCCCTCCACAGGCGGGATGGTATCTTGTTTTGGATCTAACACAGCTCCTTTTAAACCTGCTACCTTCATGGTGTATCATAGGGATAGGCAAAAGATAGGCACAGGAAGAGCATTGACAGCACAATCCATCCACACTGGAGGGTTGGATTCTTTGTTAAATTAAGTTTAAAATACTTAATAACTAACCCAAAACCTCCAAGGGAAAAGTAATCTATCAACAACGTGAACCATGGGTAACTGAAAAAGTGGGCGAGAGTCTCTAAATGGAGCTCTTTGCCCAGAGAAGCTGTGGCTGCCCCATCCCTGGCAGTGTTCAAGGCCAGGTTGGACACAGGGGCTTGGAGCAAGCTGCTCCAGTGGAAGGGGTCCCTGCCCATGGCAGGGGTTGGAGCTGGATGAGCCTTGAGGTCCCTTCCAACCCAAACCAGTCTGGGATTCTATGATTCTATGAAAAACTAAATCTTCATTAACCATGATGCTTTCACTCCAAAAAGTACCATCCATCGCACTGTTTTCCAATTATAACACAACTGATAGCCCAATAAAGAGACAATCTTTATTGAATTAAGAGGAAACGAAACTGAATGTGGATGGTTTTAGCACCTTCTGTATCTTTATAATTGCAACGGATCTTCAGTTCTGGCACACAGTTGTAGCTTTTGGCATCTATTGAACAGTATTAAAACTTGCCCTTTCAAAAGTATTCATTTCTAACAGCTTGGACAAAGCAAGCATGAGATAATGGGGTTAATACATACTTGAAGTGATTTTATAGCATCGAGAACTATTATGCAGCACACCAGGAGGCTGTTTTCAGTAACATACATGTAAGCACACAAATACAAAACTCGGTTATTGCAACTTTCCAGCATCACTTGGAACAAAAAATAGCTACCAGTATCTGGCCTAACTGTGCTGCTAGGCTGTCATAGAATCATGGAATGGTTTGTGTTGGAAGGGGCCTTAAAGCTCATCCAGCTCCAACCCCTGCCACGGGCAGGGACCCCTTCCACTGGAGCAGCTTGCTCCAAGCCCCTGTGTCCAACCTGGCCTTGAGCACTGCCAGGGATGGGGCAGCCACAGCTTCTCTGGGCACCCTGTGCCAGCGCCTCAGCACCCTCACAGGGAAGAGCTTCTGCCTAAGAGCTCAGCTCAGTCTCCCCTCTGGCAGGTTAAAACCATCACGCCTCTTCCTATCCCTACACACACTTGCAAAAAGCCCCTCTCCAGAGTTCCTGCAGGCCCCCGTGAGGTGTTAGAAGACTGCTATAAGGACTTTCCAGGCTGAACAACCCCAGCTGTCCTAACCAAAGACATGACCAGTTGTCTTCATTAACAGTTTTCCTTCCCTAACATTTCTCAGTGGTGCAGAATAGCGATAACAGCAGTGGAACAACTGGGGCAACTGAGGCAGAGGAGCATGAAGTCTTGTGTCCGGTCAATGCAAGAGCATCAAGGACAGAAAAGAAGTTCTTAAACGCAAGTTAAGTGCATAACATGCTTCAATTTGTCCCTGGGGAGCCCACGGATTTAGAAGCATGATGCAGGGTGCATATCTTGACCCCCCCCCGTCTAGACTGGACACCAATGCACCTTGATAGCAGCGATGTCCTGTATCATCACCACAAGCCCCTCCTCTCGTCTGCCATCAGAAAGCTTTTTGGTCCTTGCTTTGAGGGCTGGTTTTGAGCAGTGAGGGAGAGCGGGCTTTCCAGCTGCTGGATCAGAGCTTGCCAGATTCCATCTTTACAAACCCTCGGAGACGTAACGATATATAGCACAAAACAGCCACAAAGTGAAACTCTTCTTTCGCTCCGGTCCCATACCTACCGCACAGCACAAACCCCGAAATTTGGCTGCTGAAAGCAAAAGCTATGGCCAAGATCCATGAATATAGGGAATGATACAGCCCAAGGGATGCTTCAAATGGACTACAGAGGAGTGACACCAATGATGCTGCTATATTTAATCCTCTAAAAGCAAAAACCATGACCAAGTTTCTCTTGGGTGCTTTTTGGTTTAGGGGGAATGCACAGAAACTCAATGCACCAGAACAGATTTTTTGCACTGACTCAACCAGTTCTTAAAATACTACTCAAATATGGCAATTATGGAGCCAAACTTGCCTGAGTGCTCCCCTACCCACGGGTGCAGGAACCCACAGCCCGGGGTGCCGGAGCAGTCACGCTTCATGCAGGCTCTGGGGCTCCTCCAGGTCAGTTTGATGCAGGCTCCTCCTTCCATGCACTTCAGCTTCTAACATACCTAATCTTATTTGTCTTATATAGCACATTAGAGCATAGAATCCCAGCCTGGTTTGTGTTGGAAAGGACCTTAAAGCTCCTCCAGCTCCAACCCCTGCCACGGGCAGGGACCCCTTCCACTGGAGCAGCTTGCTCCAAGCCCCTGTGTCCAACCTGGCCTTGAGCACTGCCAGGGATGGGGCAGCCACAGCTTCTCTGGGCACCCTGTGCCAGCGCCTCAGCACCCTCACAGGGAAGAGCTTCTGCCTAAGAGCTCAGCTCAGTCTCCCCTCGGGCAGGTTCAAGCCATTCCCCTTGGCCTGTCCCTACAGGCCCTTGTCCCAAGCCCCTCTCCAGATAGGTACATAAAGATGTGATATCTTACATATGAAGCGTATCAAATTTCATAGGCTTCAACACATGGATCAACCACCTGAAGCCAGAACAAATGCTTGCTGTAAATTAACTCCATGATGACACTTAATGCTCAATGCCCACTTCGCCTGTCGATGACTAAAGGCTCCCACATGCAAGCCTGCACTATCAGAGCTCACACCAGCTTGGCAGGCCTTCAGAAACAACTCCTGCTTGGGAATTCTTGTCTCTCTGGAGGCAGCCAACTCGTAAAGTCTGGAAACAAACCAGCCCGTGGATCTGCTCCCTGATCCAGAGCACCAGAGCCACGCTCTGCACGGCTGCTCTGCACACCCAGCTGGGTCGTGGGCAGCCGGGTGCACTGTGACCTTGGAAAAGCCCTTTTTCACATGACAACACTGCTCATAGGGATACTTGAGTGCAGCGGGGCTGCCCTGACCTCCTCCAAGGAATTTATGGAAGATCTCATCTCCATAGAGAGCTGTGCTGGGGAGCAGGCTCAAGCAGGGAGCCTTGCCCAGGAAGACTGAATGCCCCGTCAGGCCCAGACGAGTAAGTAGCAGGGTGGAAAATTCCCTTCCCTTTGCCTGATCAGTTTATATTTAGCTCTCTGGGGAGCAGACGTGCTGGAGGAGCTGTTGGTTTGGTGGTGTTTTAGCACAGCCCCGCAGGGACCCCTGCAACACAACCTACAGCGTGCTAGGGGAGGCTGCCAGTGGACAGCTATTGCCACAGCACTCCACCACCGCATTGGGCCAGGCATGGAGCACCACGGGTAGACGCAGCCCTCTGCCGCTCAACAGCCCTCCTCCTTCTCGCTCTGTTTCCCCGAGTCAGCAGCTTTGCTTCCTCTTCCTCCTCCTGCCCGTTTTGGGGGAGAAAAGAGCAAAAAGAAGTCAGCCAAGAGGAGAACTTGCTTGAGGAGCTTCAGAGTGACCTCCTCAGCTCCTCTGGTCCCCCCATGGCCACAGATATAAATGTGGATTGTCGTTCTGGAGGTGTTTTCACTCTAGGGGAGAGTCCTGCTGAGTGCAGACCTGATGCAAAGGCTCTGCTTCCCCTCTCGCTCCTCTGCGATGTGGGAAGGAGACCCAACCCCTCCAGGCTGAGCTCTCCAAGGAGCTATGAGCATCTCTGGCACCTAGCCCTGCCCCAGCCCGTCGGTCCAAAGTCTGCTCTGCCACAGATTAACATTCACTGGGGCTATTTCCCAGCAAAACCATTCTAGAAACCATGTGAAACGGGAAGGGAACTAACCCAAAACCAACCCTTTCAACCCAGGGCATCCTCTTTTCTACCTGACATTTGACAAGGGAAGGACAAACTGCATCCATCCCAATGAAGATCAAGAAGAGAAACTCTACAGCACATGATAAGAAAGAAATGAAAAGGAAGAACAGCCTCAAACCACACAGCTGTCATTTGAAAATTCAGGAGTCAACCACTAATAATAAAATGGACAAACTGGATTAAACCTCATCCCCTCTCCATCACCCCTGAGGCCATGTATTTCTGCACAGAAATATGGGTGTTTTGGCAAAAAGGTGTATGTCTCGTTCTATCTAAACCTGTCCACAAGCAAAAGAAGCCTATGATACTAAAAAAAATGAATTACATATCATTAACTGAAGCAGATTTGGGGATTTATATCAGTCTATGTCCACCCATTGTTGCCCAAAGAAGCGGTTTAAGCTCCATCCCTGGCAGCATTCAAGGCCAGGTTGGACAGAGCCTTGGGTGCCATGGTTTAGTGTGAGGTGTCCCTGCCTATGGCAGGTTGGAACTGGATGATCTTAATGTCCTTTCCAACCCAAACCAGTCTGGGATTGTGTGATTCTATTTGCATGTTTATGCACATGTATTGATGTATGCAGGTTTCCATAGCTGAAAATTAGCCTCCGTCAGCACTGGCTCTGCCCCACAGTCTGCCTGATCTCCATAGATAAACATCTGGATCTCACACAAATCAATTATCTGCTGCATTAATTCGCCCTGATTTTCCATGCAAAGTTCTGCATTCGACAGCCTGATCTTCCTCCCAAAGGCCATCTGCTTTCTACAACTGATGTGGTTTCTAGACACCTTGGCCCAGTGCAGAGCTGGGAATCGCCAGATTTCCCTCCCTGCTCTGTGTTTAACCTGGAAGTGAGGAAGTCTGGATCCAGGGATTCTATTGCAGAGCCACCAGCACGCGTGGCTGTGCTCCGTGTGGCTGTGCTCGCTGGGGAGTCCTCTTCTCTTTTGAAGTGCAGAGGTGGAAAGGATTCTACAGCAGGTTGTTTAGACTGGGGTTTCTGCTTGGGGTTTCCCCCCCCCTACCTTTTGAAAGCGAGGAGGTTGTGTCCTTCTCCCATTAAAGTGCCTCCAGCATAGGGTGAACAGGCTGTGAGGCTGAGAGAGCTGGGCTGGGTCAGCCTGGAGAAGAGAAGGCTCCTGAAGGGGAGACCTCAGAGCAGCTCCAGTGCCTAAAGGGGCTGCAGGAAAGCTGGAGAGGGGCTTGGGACAAGGGCCTGTAGGGACAGGCCAAGGGGAATGGCTTGAACCTGCCCGAGGGGAGACTGAGCTGAACTCTTAGGCAGAAGCTCTTCCCTGTGAGGGTGCCGAGGCGCTGGCACAGGGTGC